ATTTTTTTTTTTTTTTTTTTTTGTTCGAGTGTCTTGCTCTGCCATCTCTGTTTCCTGATTCTTTCTTATCTATGATGTCTATGAGAAATTGTCTTATTTATGATTGCCCCCTATTATTTGAAACTTGGCTAATCCCCTCATAGTATTCTGTTCATCATTTTAAAATTCTGTATTTTACTTATCAGTCAATAGAGATTCACAAGAGAGTTGGGGCATTTTCAATGGCACTGGATACAATTAATAGGTGTCTCTCTGAAGCAATCTGTGCGCTGTCACGTGGTAGATTGGATGGGGAAAGCCGGACTGCTGGCCTTATTCATTCAGGCAATGACATTTTGGAAACATACAAATATTATCCTGAAATCAGGTCATTAATTAATTTAATCGTCTTTTCACATGTAGCAATTTTTAGTTAATGCTTTTAATTTATAAGAAATATGTTGTGAACTGTTTCTTGTATCTGTATTTATTGAACTGTTCGAGGTTGTGTGCTATTCTTTTTTATTAGTCAGTTTTTGATATCTTGAAACATAAAATTCGTAAAAAAGGCTTTTCTCCCGTCTTGGTTCCGCCTCCTCCCACCCCCCAAGAGGAAGAAAAAAAAAAAAAAATCAATTCAGATGCCAGTCCTCAATCTTGTAATTTTGTATCGATTTTTAAAACGCTCTCTAATTTTCTAGCACTCAGAAAATTTTATTTGTGTATTATTTTTTTAGTTGAGCTCAGCATATAATTTCTACACAAGGAATTCTAGTAAAAGGGGAAATATTGACCATCTTTTTTTTCCCTTTTAAATTAAAAATCTGTTTAATTTGATATGCTAAAAATGTTTTGAGCCATTGAGAACATTGTTCTTTTATTGATTTTTTTCCCCTACATTCGTGGGTTCTACAATATATTTGTAAACTAGGGAGTAGCATAGTTGCCTTCACTCAAATTGCCTGGAATGTAACATGCAGCCTTCAGGAAAGAGAATATGTCATGGAGCAACAGACCGTGTTAAGACAACTTGAGGCAGTTCTTTCAATCCACAAGTTGGCCAGATTGGGTCATCATCTAGATGCTCTAAGGGAGATTGCTAGAATTCCATTTCTTCCATTGGATCCACGAGGGCCTGATATGACTTCTGATGTATTTCAAAACTTATCTCCTCACATTCAAGGCTGTGTACCAGATCTTTTGAAGATTGCACTTGCGTGTCTGGACAATGTGAAAGATTCTGATGGATCTCTTCGTGCCTTGAGGGCCAAGGTATGCAAACAGCACCCTTAAATAGTGTTTCTAATGCATTGCTAACTAACCTCCAGCAAGTCTGTTAGTTCCTCTTCTTGTCAATTAATCGCTCAAAGTAGATGTGTTAAATTAATGTTGAAAAAAGTAGGGGTATTGAGGTGTTGGGATGAATCGGACCGAGTAAATAGACATTTTAGACCCGATTTAATTTTTTGGTCCTGGGTTTGTTGTTACTAATGCTAAGTGGAATGTGGAAAGGGAGTCAAAGATCTCCATTAGAGGTATATTTGGCTAACTGAGAACTTTCTCCGACTAAACTTAACTACGTTTGAACTAAACTTAACGACATTTCTCTGACTAAATTTGGTCCACCCCGATTTGAACTAAACTTAACGACGTTTCACCCTTTCAGCATACTATTATTTCTAATCAGAAAATAACGGCATTAGACAAAATACTGTGGCATGGTGTTGAAATTTAAGTTAGTCTGTTGTGTGCATTTCTTGGTAAACCTGCTAATTCATGTTGGACTTCTCTTGCTTTGGCAGATTGCAAACTTCGTAGCAAATAATTTAAACAGGAACTGGCCTCACGATTTGTATGAAAAAGTTGCTCAAACCTTGTGAAAGCATGTGGACTTCAGCATTAGAAGGGCTAGCCATGAAAATGAAACTCTGCAAAGATCCGAGCAATGGGAAATTTAGCATAGTTTTAGGCTTGTTGCTTTGTGAAGCAGTACAAAAGAAGAAGGAAAATGAAGTTGAGGAATGTTGCGCAGTTTTTGTTTCACCAATCGGAAGACTAATTGTAAGTTTACATTATCATTCCCAAATTTTCATTTTCCTTCCGTTTCCTTCCGTGCCTTTTTATTATGCTTGTTGCAAGAGCTATAAGCAAAAGAGGTGGTAAAATGGGGCTAAATTTAGGGTTTATATCTGCTCAAATCTGCTGTGAATCAGTTTTTATTTTGGAATATTATGCAAAGAACTATTTTACTGATTGGAGGTATAGAGAGCTTATCTAGATTTATTTACTCAAAAGTGTTTTGAGATCATTAAAACCAGGAGGTACAAAGAAATATGGTCGTATAGATGATCAAACCTAAATCAGGGAAACAAACCGACATGCCTTTTACGGGTTTCTTAGCCAGCTATAGAATAGGTACAGCTAGCTCGGCGTTTTGTGCCCGGTTCTGGTTCCATGAAAAATGACCGAAAACATATAGTAATTCTTATGTATAAATTGAACTTTGAAACATATTTTCATTGTTATGGCATATTGTAACTTGTATCAAGTATAGGAGCTAGACATTATTCAACGATGTGGGTGGATATTTGAGTTTTAACTTCTGAGCTATCTTTTAAAATTGTTGTGATTATTCTTTTTTAGTCTAACCCATGAAAAATGTTTATGCATTTTTAAATTCTCAAGAACTTGATTGGAATGGAGTATCCAATAAGAAATTTATATGCACAAATTCATTTCAAATATAAACGATGAAAATTGGTAATGACATAATTGAAAATAAAAAAATAACACTTCCTATCGTATGGAAGTTTTAAAATGAAATGTGTTGCTTCTGCTTCAATTTTGGTAACATCAATATGAGTATGAGTAGCAACTAAATCCTTTTTAGTTTCTTCAGTTTGTTTAGCCCCAAAATGAGTATCATCAGTAGTTACATCTTCTTCTGCTCCATCATGTGTTGCTTGGAGATGAGTTCACATCCATAATAGGAACCGTCCGTACTCTGCCATCAGTATCCTTAACCTTACAATCTTCTGCTTTTAAAGGTTGTTCAGTCCCAAAACGAGGATCATTATTACCCTTATGCTGTTGTGCTTTTAAAGCTTGTCCATTATTCTTAGCTTCATGATGATCATCGTTCATAGCTCGGTCGTGTTCTTCTTGTCTAGCTACTTCGGTCCTAGAAAGATGAAGATAATTTTTTTTTGACATCGCTCCAGAATCAGTGTTCAATACAATTTGATCATTGTTCGTAGCTCGGTTGTGTTCTTGTCTAGTTGGTCCGGCCCCAGCAAGACCAATAACATCTTGTTTTGATACCTCTCCAGCAGTATTGTTCAATCTAGTTTGATGAGCATCACTCTTACGCTCATCATTATTTACTTCTTTAGTTTGTTTAGCTTCAACATCTGCCTTGTCTTTGTCCTTTGATGCTACTGGTAGCTTGATTATTTTGGAGTCCACATAAATGGTAAAGATGCAAGAGGTATCGAACTCTGGTTGATTGGCTTCCTTCAAAACTTGTTTGCTAAGCAACCCACAAAACGTGATCCTCAATTCCTTCATCTTATCCCAATTTTGTAGAATAGGCAACATAGATCCCGCCAGCATAGGACAGTTGGAGATCCCAAGAATTCGAAGTTCCAATAAATCTTCGACCCAGAAAGGTAATGCTCTTAGACTGGGAAGCTCTCCCACTTCTAGCACTTCTAAATCCACCCCAGAATAATAGATCCACATCGGCAAATTGGTCAATGCTGGAAGTCCTCTGAGTATCAGTTTTTTGAGACGAATGATTTCCATTGGGAATGTCAATCTCAGCCGCTCACACCCCCATAGTGCCATATTACATAATTTTCTCGAGTTTCCCAAGTTTTTTGGCAATGTTATCAACGATTTGCAATCATAAATGATCAGTGTTTGAAGGGAACTGAGTCTGTCAATATCTTCAAACAAGCGAGTCAAGTTTTCGCTCCCTCCGATGGCGAGAAAACGAAGCGATGTTAAGCTTCCTATGCCATCTTTTCCCAAGCGGGCTTGCTTTGTCTGTATCCATAAGAATCTGAGGCTGATCATGTTCTTTATGTTTCTGGGAAGTTCTTCAAACTCTGAGCAGAATGCAAGTATCAGGGTCTGCAGGATCTGTAGCTTGCAAATTGATTCTGGCAACCTCTTGAGTCGTCGGCTCCCTCGCAAATCTAAGTACCTCAAATGTTTCAGCGTGTCGATGGAGGTTGGAATTTCTTCCAAGGAAGATTTGCATAAGTATAAGACCCTTAGCTGCTTGAACTTGGTGATGCATTTGAAAAGAGGAACTCCATTGATCTTTGGCTCCACACCTCCTCCCACTGGATTGGAAAGAACACAAAAATTATCACATGTGAGCAAAGGAAAATCGTTGTTGTTGCAGTCCACAAATGACAGCTGATGCAAACTTTCCACGTTCTGTTGTTCCTTACTAGCCTGTTGTACTGCAAGATCATGAACAAGGCTATGGATTTTGAACCAATATCCAAGAGTGTGCTCCTCAACGTCTTCGAGTAAACCGCGAGACCACAATTCATTGAAGTATTGCTCCCCAACAGACTCAGGATCTTTGCTATCTGAATGAAGGAGTCCTTGTGCCATCCATAACTGGATTAGCTCAAACGAGTAGAACACATTATCCTTAGGCAACAACGAAATGCAAAGAAAACAAGGCTTTAAGTAAGATGGCATTAGATCACAACTCAGTCTCAGTACATGTAAAACGCAACCACCCTCCTTCACCTCTTCCTGTTTCCATTTCTCAAACAAGGCCTGGAGATTCAACGACTCGACACCACCACTCACTTCCGAAGAAAGCAATCCGGCCAAGAATTTGATTGCCAAAGGAATTCCTCCACATTTTGACAAAAGTTCTTTGAGTTTACTTTGAAATTCGGTCATACTTTCAAATTTTTTGATTCCAAATGTCTGTTTAAATAAAGCCATGGATTGCTCCTCGTCCAGTTTTTCAACCTTGTGTGTTGCAGCATCCTGTAGAGTTTTCTCACTGCGAGTGGTGATCATGATCTTGCTGCCATTAGCACCCATCTCCACTAATTTTTCCACTTCTGATACTCTACCGGGATCCAAATCCCCAAAATCATCCAAAACAAGCAACAATTTTCTGCCGACAAAGTTCCCATTGAGCCGGATTTGTACACGCTTCTCGGTTAGGACATCGTTAACCTTTTCGCCAGTTGCTGAACTGAGCATCTCCCTTCCGATTCTCTGAACATCATAATCTTCAGAAACACATACCCACATTCTCTTGTCAAAATGATCGAACACTTTGTGGTCATTGTAGACTAACCTGGCCAGAGTCGTCTTTCCCATCCCTCCATCTCCATGAACTGAGAGAACACGCCGGGATTTTTGTTTATCGTCTTCATCCTTCAGTAGTTCATCAATGATACTCTGTTTTGCTTCATCTCTACCAATAATGGAGGCGACATTATTAGACAGAATCGCCTCTTTCTTCAAATGCAGAAGCCTAGAGAAAGCTTGCGAACCAGTAATGGAGGTCCGCAGAGTCATTTCACTCTTCAAACGTTTGATGTGGTTAGTTTCATCTTCAATCAGAGAGAATCCAGACATGGTTTCCGCAATCGTATCTAAGGTCTTTGTGATTCCGTTCATTTTATCGGTAGTTTTAGTTGAAGGAACGAAGAAATTGGACGAGAAACAAGAAGAGAACTGGCATCCCTTTTCGTCAACGTCGTTCTTTTGATTCTGCCCTCTCCACTTCAAATATTCGCATTCCAATTCGTCAAGGAGATCATCGGCCTTTGAAAATTCGTTCATGAGTTGATTAAGCAGACCATAGAGTTTCCCATCGCTTGCCTGCTTCTCCTCGGCGTCTCTGAGTCCGGGCTTGAGATTCGACACATTCGTTTCGAGATTTCTTAGTTCGCGTCGGATATGACGGAACTCCGGTCGGCTGGCGGCTTCAATGATCCTTCCGATCAGATTTCCGGCAACACCGTCAAGAATTCCGGCCATTTCTAGGGTTCAAATTTGTCTGATTGATTCTCGATTTCTGATTTTTTTTCGTCTTCAAAACACATGGTTATGTAGTCGCTCAAAATTCTTTGCCGTTGGAATCAAGTAAGAAACTGCTACTTTGCTCGATTTCTCGGCTACTGTATTCGTATTCTTTGTAATCAAGCAAACGGCAAAAAGCTTTCATACCTTTTCCCTTTTGCTTTACAGAAGGAAGCCAACACGAACTGGTTCTGCCTTCGTTCTTCATGAACAAAATACAGAACTTCCTTTGCGTCCAACACTCTCCCACCATGGGATGAAAGTCCCACCTAATTTAAATTAATTCAGGTAATGATCCTGAGTTTATAAACGAACAATACACTCTTTATTGGCTACCTGAGTTTATAAACGAACAATACACTCTCCATTGGCATGCATGAGAGCTATTATTTAAAGTGGACAATATCATATCATGGTGGAGAGTCGTGTTACTCTGCTTAATGTTTCTTTCATCATCTACAATCACTCCATCTGTTTTTAAGGGTATTTTTTTTATAATTTAATCTATATATTAATATTTACATTATTACTTCGTGTAAATATATTTTAATGGATAAAATACTAAAGTTTACTTAGAATATGAGTAAAATTGTATATTTTAAATTACCTTTCAATTAAAAAATAAAATAATTTATTTGTTGTGATGACTCCTATTAGTTTTTTTTTCTTTTCTTCTCATGGTTATTAAATCTAGACTGGTTATTTGTTTTCTTTGTATAATAATGATATATGAAGTTCGATAATATAATTACGAGTCCATTGGAATTGTTAGGTTTAGATTTAATGTTGTTAATAAATCCTAGAGGCTCTCCCTAGTATACATGTCTTAAAGTGTAAGCTAGTTTTAGGGATGTTCACGGGTAACATAGGGATAACTCCTCTAAAATTCATATGAATTTTAGGTGACCAGCTTTTAGCGGGAAAATGACGACTTTAAATCTCAATCTGCATCATTGAATTTTTGGATAGCATAACGGTGGAACTATCATCACATAACACAGTTCTTTGATGACACTTGTAATACTCAATTGTATGCTTTTTTTTTATAGAACAATTGTCTACCTTTTCCTCGAAAAACTTCATAAATTGGTCACCTCCTCTTCCATCGATTCTATCTTTGATTGTCTCATTTAATGCTTGTCCATTGCCTCCACGTCCGTTCATCCTTTGTTCATGTACTAGCAAGCTAGTCTGTAAGTCATTAATAGTTAAAATGTCTAAATTATTAAACTCAGAACCTACCAATTGAGCCAAGAAGCTTTGAGGTCGTTGATTTTCATATTTTTTCAATTATTACCATTCTTTGGTTTTTACCATTGATCTTCATCTTATTTGCTATGGTGATTGCTCGAGCGGAGTACACATGGACACTCCTACCTTCTTTCACATCTTTAGAAGAAATGTTCCGTTTATCTCTCTGACCGATATGAGATCTCACATATAAATTAGAGAATTCATACGAATTTTGCGAAGAGCTATCCTATGTTACCCGTGAACGATCTCTAACACTTGAGAAATGGAACAAGAAATGAACATGGAAAGATGGGTCATGCACACCAAGTCAGGCTTCAAACACTGTTCTTGGCCACACAGAGGTGATAGATCCAAACCAAGGCTACAACTCAAAAACAAATCCTGTGAATCAAGTGATGGTCAAATTGGTAAAACGAACAGGAAACGAAAATGAAACTATAAATTCTTCGGCGCCACCGGCTGCCCCGCTTGGCCTGTTGCTGCTACTCCTGGCTTGAATTTTTTGGTGTCAACATAAATGGAAGGGATGTGAGAGATAACCCAACTTTTATCACCGCTTTGCTTAACAATGTCGGAAAGCCGCCGACACGACGTGATTCTCAGTTCTTCCATCTTTATACAATCACTTAAAGAAGGAAACGAAGGACCAACACACCTAGGACAGTTGGAGATCCCAAGAATTCGAAGTTCCCATAAATCTTCGAGCCAGAGAGGTAATGCTCTTAGCCTGGGAAGCTCTCCCACTTCTAGCACTTCTAAATCCACCTCAGAACTTTGTATCCAGTTTGGCAAGGTGGCAAAAAATGGAAGGCCTCTGAGTATCAGTTTCTTAAGACGGAGCGATTCCAGAGAGTCTGTCAATAACTGCCGCTCACAACCCCATATGGCCATATTACATAACGTACTCGAGCTTTCCAGGCCTTTTGGAAATGTTAGCAGGGATTTGCAATCATAAATGATCAGTGTTTGAAGGGAATTGAGCTGGTCATTATCTTCAAACAAGCAAGTCAAGTTTTCGCTCCCTCCGATGGCGAGAAAACGAAGCGATGTTAAGCTTCCTACGCCGTCTTTTCCCAAGCGGACTTGCTTTGTCTGTATCCATAAGAATCTGAGGTTGATCATGTTCTTTATGTTTCTGGGAAGCTCTTCAAACTCTGAGCAGAATGCAAGGATCAGGGTCTGCAGGATCTGTAGCTTGCAAATAGACTCCGGCAATCTCTTGAGTCGTCGGCTCCCTCGCAAATCTAAGTACCTTAAACATTTCAGCGTGTCGATGGAGGTTGGAATTTCTTCCAAGGAAGAGTTGCATAAGTACAAGACCCTTAGCTGCCTGAACTCGGTGATGCATTTGACAAAAGGGACTCCATTGATCTTTGGCTCCGCACCTCCTCCCTCTGGAACGGAAAGAAAATGAACTTTATCATTTGACGGCTGAGGCAAATCCTTGTTGTTGCAGTCGACAAATGACAGCTGATGCAAAATTTCCAGGTTCTGATGTTCCATACTAGCCTGTTGGACTGCAAGCTCATGAACGAGGCTATGGAGTTTGAACCAATATCCAAGAGTGTGCTCCTCGACGTCTTCGAGTAAACTGCGAGACCGCAATTCATTGAAGTATTGCTCCCCAACAGCCTCAGGATCTTTGCTACCTGAATGGAGGAGTCCTTGTGCCATCCATAACTGGATTAGCTCAAATGAGAAGAACACATAATCTTTTGGCAACAACGAAAGGCAAAGAAAACAAGGCTTCAAGTAAGATGGCAATAGATAATAACTCAGTTTCAGTGCATGGAAAACGCAACCACCTCCTTTCACCTCCTCCTGTTTCCATTTCTCAATCAAGGCCTGGAGATTCAACAACTCGACACCATAACTCGCTTCCAAAGAAAGCAATCCGGCCAAGGATTTGATTGCCAAAGGAACTCCTCCACATTTTGAGACAAGTTCTTCGAGTTCACTTTGAAATTCGGTCATAATTTCAAATTTTTTGATTCCAAATGTCTGTTTCAATAAAACCATGGATTGCTCCTCGTCCAGTTTTTGAACCTTGTGTGTTGCAGCATCCTGTAGAGTTTGCTCACTGCGAGTGGTGATCATGATCTTGGTGCCATTAGCACCCATCTCCACTAATTTTTCCACTTCTGATACTCTACCGGGATCCAAAGCCCCAAAATCATCCAAAACAAGCAACAATTTTCTGCCGACAAAGTTCCCATTGAGCCGGATTTGTACACGCTTCTCGGTTAGGACATCGTTAACCTTTTCGCCAGTTGCTGAACTGAGAATCTCCCTTCTGATTCTCTGAACATCATAATCTTCAGAAACACATACCCACATTCTCTTGTCAAAATGATCAAACACTTTGTGGTCATTGTAGACTAACCTGGCCAGAGTCGTCTTTCCCATCCCTCCATCTCCATGAATTGAGAGAATACGCCTAGATTTTTGTTTATCGTCTTCATCCTTCAGTAGTTCATCAATGATACTCTTTTTTGCTTCATCTCTACCAATAATGGAGTCGACATTATCAGAGAGAACCGCCTCTTTCTTCAAACGCAGAAGCCTAGAGAAAGCTTGCGAACCAGTAATGGAGGTCCGCAGAGTCATTTCACTCTTGAAACGTTTGATGTGTTCATTTTCATCTTCAATCAGAAGGATTTCAGACATTGTTTCCTCAATCGTACATAACTCCTCTGTGATGTTCTTGATGGCAGATTTATATGCAGAAACGGAGAAATCGGACGAGAAAAGAGAAGAAAACTGGCATTCCTTTTCATCCACGTCGTTCTTTCGATTCTGTACTCTCCACTTCAAATATTCGCATTCCAATTCCTCAAGGAGATCGTCGGCCTTTGAAAATACGTTCCCGAGGTTTTTAAGCAGTTCATAGAGTTTCCTATCGCTTGCCTGCTTCTCCTCGGCGTCTCTGAGTCCGGGCTTGAGATTCGACACAGTCGTTTCGAGGTTTCCTAGTTCGCTACGGATATGACGTAACTCTGGTCGTCTGGCGGCTTCAATTATCCTTCCGAGAAGATTTCCGGCAACACTGTCAACAAGTCCGGCCATTGCTAGGGTTCAAATTTGTCCGATTGATTCTCGCTTTCTGATTTTTTTTCGTCTTCCAAATGCATGGTTATGTAGTCGCTCAAAATTCTTTGCTGTTGGAATCAAGTAAGAAACTGCTACTTTCCTCGATTTCTCGGCTACTGTATTCGTATTCTTCGTAATCAAGCAAACGGCAAACGGCAAAAAGCTTTCATACCTTTTCGCTTTTGTTTTACAGAAGAAAGCGAGCAGACAGTGATTTTACCTTTGTACTTCATGAACATAATACAGAATGTTCCTTGCGTCGCTAATGGAATGAACACGATTTATCTCCCAATCCGCGGATGCGCCTTTGAGCCCACCGTTTGTCTTGCTTTTCAGTTCCTTCTTCGTGTCTATGAAAATAGGAATTACAAATGAGAGTAAGAAATAGAATCAGAGAAGATGGAAAGCATATCGGCCATGAAATTGTTGATGAGTTATCTTCCTCCCCTGCCTTGGACACCATGATTCATTCAAACTTCTGCTTCTTCTTGTAGCTCTGTAAAAGCCTTATGACATACCCAAATTTTCCCTCCCTCTACAAACACCACTCTCACTCTTAAATAATTCTCTAAATATATTATATTTTTTTTTAGCTAAATAGATCTAAAAATATTATTATAAAAAACAATACTTAAAAATGAAAATAAAATTGAGATCGAACCACTAAATCTTGAGAATAGAAGGAAGAATAAAATATTGATCGATTACAAAAATGAAGATGTGTTTGAGAATAAAATAAAATAAAGAAAAAAATATTATCTAATATATTTTGAAAATAAAAAATAAAATATATTACTAATTAAATCCAACTAACCAATTACAAATATGTACGATATTTTGAGAATAAAAAAAATAAAATATCAAATCATAAAGAAAAAAATATTAATAAAATAAAAAAAAAACATTAACTACTAATCAAATTAAAGAGAAAAATATTAATAAAATATAAAAAAAATTAACGGATTACAAATATCTCGAGAATAAAAAATAAAATATATACTAATCAGATCTAAAGAGGAAAAAGAAATATTAACTGATTACAAATATCTAAAAAATAAAAATATTAATAAAATTACAAATATCTGGACTAATTCAAATTAAGAATAAAAATATTAATAAAATTATAAATATCTTGTCTAATTCTAAGTTACATTTAATTCTGACAACATGAACAAGACACTCACTTGAGCATAAGCTCATATGGTTTTGTTTTGGACTTTTCAAAATGTCTGGTAAGAAGATAGAATTCTTTGATTATAAACCGATGATTATTCCCTAAAGTAGCCTATGTGGACTTTCATCCAACACACATTATCTTTATTGCAGCTCACTCCAATCCTACCGAGAAATATTTATAATATTTTTTAAAAATATTGAATGGCACGATGACGAGACGAGTTGTTAAGATGAGGTGATACATCCAAACTAGGTGGGTAGCTCAAACTTGTGAGAGGAGCAACCCCCAAGAGCACCACCCCTTTAACATTGCCACCTACACTTAAACCTTCGCATATTATTGATCATGAATCACTTCCTTTTCTGCAAGAAATTGTCTCAAGGGAAGGGAAGTAAAGTCGTTACGTAATAAACAAATCGCTCTCCAAACACATCCTTAGAAACCCTCCAATGTAACCACCATACCTTGTTTAGCTCCGGCGTCGTCATTGTCACCCAAACAAACCTCGCCATCGCCATTCTCATTCGCTCCACCAAGATTTGCCCCTTCAATTTGCCCTGCATTTATATCACCATCATCACCAGCTAAATCCTTTTTAGTTTCTGCAGTTTGTTTAGCCCCAACATGACTGTCCTCTGTCTCTCCATCATGTTTTGTTCTTAAGATGTGTCTAGTCCCGGCGTTCGGATCAACCTGTTCTGCTCCGACCGCTTTATCTCCAACAGTTTGTCCAGTACCAGCATGACTATCATTCTTAGCCTGTTGTCCGGTCCCAATATCGTTACCAATGTTAGCTTCATGATGATCATCATTCGTAGCTCGGTCGTGTTCTCCTTCTCCAGTTTGTCCAGCCCCAACACGACCGTTTACAGCTGCTCCGTTATCCTGTCGGACACCACTCGATTCATGAGTGTCACTACCAATACCATCTTGTTTTGGTTTAACTCCAGCATTGTTGTTGAATCCAACATGTTGAGCATCACTCTCATGGACATCAGTATTGGATCCAACATGATCAGCATCACTCTTATGGACACCACTTACTTCTTCAGGTTGTTCAGCTCCACCTGATGCCTTGTGTTCATCTGCTGATACTACTCGCGGCTTCACTTTTTTGGAGTCAACATAAATGGTAGAGATCTGAGAGAGATTTTGATTTTGATGATTGATTTCCTCCACAACTTTTTGGCTAAAGGATCCACAGAACGTGACCCTCAATTCCTCCATATTTTCACAAGAATCTAGATCAGGAAGAAAACCTGGCAATCTAGGGCAGTTGGAGATCCCAAGAAGTCGAAGGTCCCAGAAATCTGAAAGCCAGACAGGAAATACTCTTAGCATGGGAAATTCTCCAAATTCTAGCACTTCTAAATCATCACACAAATGCTCTATCCACTTTGGCAATGTGGCAATTGCTGGAAGTCCTCTGAGTATCAATTTCTTGAAATGAAGGAAGTCCACTGAGATTGGGAATCTCAGCCGCTCACACCCCCATAGTGCCATATTACACAACGTACTCAAGCTTTCCAAGCCTTTTGGCAATGTTAGCAGCGATTTGCAATCATAAATGATTAGTGTTTGAAGCAAATTGAGTCTGTCAATATCATCAAACAAGTGAGTCAGGTTTTTGCTCCCTCCGATCGCGAGAAACCGAAGCGATGTTAAGCTTCCTATGCCATCTTTTCCCAAGCTGGCTTGCTTTGTCTGTATCCATAAGAATCTGAGGCTGATCAAGTTCCCTATGTCTTTGGGAAGCTCTTCAAGCTCTGAGCAGAATGCAAGTATCAGGGTCTGCAGGCTCTGTAGCTTGCAAATAGACTCTGGCAACCTCTTGAGTCGTCGGCTCCCTCGCAAATCTAAGTACCTCAAATGTTTCAGCGCGTCGATGGAGGTTGGAATTTCTTCCAAAGAAGAGTTGCATAAGTACAAGATCCTTAGCTCCCTGAACTTGGTGATGCATTTTAAAAGAGGGACTCCATTGATCTTTGGCTCCACATCTCCTCCCACTGGAATGGAAAGAACACAAATTTTATCATATTTCGGCCGGGGCAAATCCTTGTTGTTGCAGTCGACAAATGACAGGTGATGCAAAAATTCCAGGTCCTGTTGTTCCTCACTAGCCTGTTGGACTGCAAGATCATGGACAAGGCTATGGATTTTGAACCAATATCCAAGAGCATGCTCCTCAACGTCTTCGAGTAAACCGCGAGACCACAATTCTTTGAAGTATTGCTCCCCAACATCCTCGGGATCTTGGCTATCTGAATGAAGGATTCCTTGCGCCATCCATAACTGGATTATCTCAAATGAGTAGAACACATAATCTTTAGGCAACAATGAAAAGCAAAGAAAACAAGGCTTTAAGTAAGATGGCATTAGACCATAACTCAGTCTCAGTGCACGTAAAACGCAACCACCCTCCTTCACCTCTTCCTGTTTCAATTTCTCCCTCAAGGCCTTGACATCCAACCACTCGACACCATCACTCGCTTCCGAAGAAAGCAGTCCTGCCAAGGATTTGATTGCCAAAGGAAGTCCTCCACATTTTGGCACAAGTTCTTTCTTGAGTTCACTGTGAATTCTGGTCATATTTTCAGTAAGGTTTTTGCTTCCAAATTTCTGTTCAAATAAAACCATAGATTTCTCCTCATCGAGTTTTTCAACCTTGTATGTTGCAGAATCCTGTACAGTTTGCTCACTGCGAGTGGTGATCATGATCTTGCTGCCATTAGCACCCATCTTCACTAATTTTTCCAGTTCCGATACTCTATCAGGGTCCAAAGCCCCAAAATCATCCAAAACAAGCAACAATTTACGGCCGGCAAAGCTCCGTTTGAGCCGGATTAGTAAACGGCAGTCGGTTAAGAGATCACTAACCTTTTCTCCAGTTGCTGAACTGAGAACCTCCCTTCTGATTCTCCGAACATCAAAATCTTCAGAAACACATATCCACATTCTCTTGTCAAAATGATCAAACACTTGGTGGGCATTGTAAACTAACTTGGCCAGAGCCGTCTTTCCCATCCCTCCATCTCCATGGATTGAAAGAATAAGCCGAGATTTTTGTTCATCATCTTCATCCTTCAGTAGTTCATCAATGATACTCTGTTTTGCTTCATCTCTACCAACAATGTAGTCGAAATTATCAGAGAGAATCGCCTCTTTTTTCAAATGCAGAAGCCTTGAGAAAACTTGTAAACCAGTAATGGAGGTCCGCAGACTCATTTCACTCTTCAAACGTTTGATATGTTCATTTTCATCTTCAACCAGAGAGAATTCAGACATGGTTTCCTCAATCGTATCTAAAGTCTTCGTGATTTCGTTGATTTTAGCGGCAGTTTTAGTTGCAGAAACGAAGAAATTGGACGAGAAACAAGAGAAGAACTGACATCCTTTTTTGTCAACGTCATTCTTTCTATTCTGCACTCTCCACTTCAAGTATTCGCATTCCAATTCCTCAAGCAGATCGTCGGCCACTGAAAATGCATGTTTGAGTCGCTTAAGCAGATCATAGAGTTCCGCATCGCTTGCCTGCTTCTCCTCGGCGTCTCTGAGTCTGGGCTTGAGATTCGACACAGTCGTTTCAAGGTTTCTTAGTTCGCTTCGGATATGACGAAAATCTGGTCGGTCAGCGGCTTTAACTATCCTTCCGAGCAGATTTCCGGCAACAATGTCAAGAAGTCCGGCCATTGTCAGGGTTCAATTTCGTCCGATTGATTCTCGATTTCTTCCCTTTTCGTCTTCAAAATGGATCGCTATGTAGTCGCCCTAAATTCTTTGCATTTCAAATCAAGTTAACTGCTACTTTCCTCGGTTTCTCGGCTAGCATTCGTTTTCCTTACAATCAAGCAAACGGCAAAAAGTTTTCATACCTTTTCTTTTTTGCTTTACCGAAGGAAGCCAACTGAAACTGGATTTGCGTTTGTTCTTCATGAACAGAGTACAGAATGTTCTTTGCCTGTGAATATTGTTTATCTTCCATGGATGTCTTGCTTTTGAGTTCCTTCTTCGTCTGAAATTCTTGATGAGTTATCCTCCTCCCCAGCTTGGATCATGATTCATTCAAACCTCTGCTTCTTCATGTAGCTGTAAAAGCCTGAGATTGACATAAATTTTCCCTCCCTCTCCAAACAACCTCTCTTTTTCAAACCTTTTTATATCTAATGAATTTTTTAATATATATATATATATGATAGTTTCATTAAATAATTGAATAATTGAATAATTTTAATTCTATCCATTCCCATTCTAATATTTTTTTTAATATATTCTATTAATTTTATAAGGGGCTATTTCCATGCAAATCTCACGTAGTTGTCTCTGCATCCCTACCTCTTTTATCACTTAGCGGTCATTTAGGGGCCTTAGCTGGTGATTTGGACTGTTTCCCTCTCGACGATGAAGCTTATCCCCCATCGTCTCACTAGCCAACATTAACCCCTGTATTCAGAGTTTGCCCTCGATTTTGTACCGCTCTCGCAACCTGCATAAAAACAATGCTTTACTCTTAGATGTCCAGTCAACGGCTGCGGTTGAACACAAGTCTTTGTGGAAAACACTCATACTCTTTATTAACACCAATCGAGAAGAGATTACAAGATACTCTGCAGAATACTCCTGCACTCCGTGCTTTGTATTTCTTGGAAAACCCAGGTAGGGTAGAGGAGTATTTATATACTAAACACATCCTCAGAACCCCTCAACTGTAATGACCATAGTTTGTTCGGATCCAGCACGGTCCACCGCAGCATCGCCATTCTCATTTGCTCTGCCAAGTTTAGCCCCAGGATGACTCTCATCAGTAATTACATCTTGTTTTGCTCTTACGATGTGTCTAGTCCCGACGTTAGGATCAACCTGTTCTTCTCCCAAAGTTCGTTCGGTTCCGACTAGCCTATCGTCGCCAACTTCATCTACTTTCTCTCCAACAGTTTGTCCAGTACCAACATGACTATCATTGTTAGCCTTATCATGTTCTGGTTTTAATGGTCGTCCAGTCCCAATGTCACTACCAATGTTAGCTTCAAGATGATCATCGTTCGTAGCTCGGTCGTGTTCTCCTTGTCCAGTTTGTCCAGCCCCAACACGACCGTCCTCAGCTGCTCCGTTATCCTGTCGGGCACCAATTGATTCATGAATGTCACTACCAATACCATCTTGTTTTGATTTAACACCAGCATCATTGTTGAATCCAACATGTTGAGCATCACTCTCCTGCTCATCATTGTCTACTCCATGCCTTACTTCAGCTCCACCTGCTGCCTCGTGTTCGTCTATTGATGTTACTCGTGGATTGAGTCGTTTGGCGTCGACATAAATAGTAGAGATGTGAGAGATACCCCACTCTTCGTGATTGCTTTCATTCATAGCGTTTTTGCCAAACATCCCACAAAATGTGATCCTCAATTCCTCCATCTTATCACAATTATTCATATAAAGAGGCATACGACCCTCCAATCTAGGGCAGTTGGAGATCCCAAGAATTCGAAGTTCCCATAAATTTGGAAGCCAGAAAGGCAATATTCTTAGCGTGGGAAACTCTCCAACTTCTAGCACTTCTAAATCTGAATCAAACCTGTTTAACCACGTCGGGAAAATGGCGAATGCTGGAAGTCCTCTGAGTATCAGTTTCTTAAAACGAAGCAATTCCAGTGAGATTGTCCATTTCAGCTGCTCACACCCCCATAGTGCCGTATTACACAACGTACTCAAGCTTTCCAAGCCTTTTGGCAATGTTAGCAGCGATTAGCAATCATAAATGATTAGTGTTTGAAGCAAATTGAGTCTGTCAATATCATCAAACAAGCGAGTCAAGTTTTTGCTCCCTCCGATCGCGAGAAACCGAAGCGATGTTAAGCTTCCTATGCCATCTTTTCCCAAGCTGGCTTGCTTTGTCTGTATCCATAAGAATCTGAGGCTGATCAAGTTCCCTATGTCTTTGGGAAGCTCTTCAAGCTCTGAGCAGAGTGCAAGTATCAGAGTCTGCAGGCTCTGTAGCTTGCAAATAGACTCTGGCAACCTCTTGAGTCGTCGGCTCCCTCGCAAATCTAAGTACCTTAAATGTTTCAGCGTGTCGATGGAGGTTGGAATTTCTTCCAAGAGTTGCATAAGTATAAGACCCTTAGCTCCCTGAACTTGGCGATGCATTTGAAAAGAGGAACTCCATTGATCTTTGGCTCCACATCTCCTCCCACTGGAATGGAAAGAACACAAATTTTATCACATGTCGCCCCGGGCAAATCCTTGTCGTTGCAGTCGACAAATGACAGCTGATGCAAACTTTCCAGGTTCTGTTGTTCTTTCCTAGCCTGTTGTACTGCAAGATCATGAACAAGGCTTGGATTTTGAACCAATATCCAAGAGCGTGCTCCTCAACGTCTTCGAGTAAACCGCGAGACCACAATTCATTGAAGTATTGCTCCCCAACAACCTCAGGATCTTTGCCATCTGAATGAAGGATTCCTTGCGCGATCCATAACTGGATTAGCTCAAAGGAGTAGAACACATAATCTTTTGGCAACAACGAAAAACAAAGAAAACAAGGCTTTAAATAAGATGGCATTAGATCATAACTCAGTCTCAGTGCATGTAGAACGCAACCACCCTCCTTCACCTCTTCCTGTTTCCATTTCTCACTGAAGGCTGTGACATCCAACCACTCGACACCATAACTCGCTTCCGACGAAAGCAGTCCCGCCAAGGATTTGATTGCTAAAGGAAGTCCTCCACATTTTGGCACAAGTTCTTTCTTGAGTTCACTGTGAATTCTGGTCATATTTTCAGTAAGGTTTTTGCTTCCAAATGTCTGTTCAAATAAAACCATGGATTTCTCCTCGTCTAGTTTTTCAATCTTGTATGTTGCAGAATCCTGTACAGTTTGCTCACTGCGAGTGGTGATCATGATCTTGCTGCCATTAGCGCCCATCTCCACTAATTTTTCCAGTTCTGATACTCTACCGGAATCCAAATCCCCAAAATCATCCAAAACAAGCAACAATTTCCTGCGGATAAAGTTCCGTTTGAGCCGGATTAGTAAACGGGAGTCGGTTAGGACATCACTAACCTTTTCTCCGGTTGCTGAACTGAGAACCTCCCTTCTGATTCTCCGAACATCAAAATCTTCAGAAACACATATCCACATTCTCTTGTCAAAATGATCGAACACTTTGTTGTCATTGTAGACTAACTTGGCCAGAGCCGTCTTTCCCATCCCTCCATCTCCGTGGATTGAAAGAATACGCCGAGATTTTTGTTCATCATCTTCATCCTTCAGTAGTTCATCAATGATACTCTGTTTTGCTTCATCTCTACCAACAATGTAGTCGAAATTATCAGAGAGAATCGCCTCTTTTTTCAAATGCAGTAGCCTTGAGAAAACTTGCGAACCAGTAATGGAGGACCGCAAACTCATTTCACTCTTCAAACGTTTGATATGTTCATTTTCTTCTTCAACCAGAGAGAATTCAGATAAGGTTTCCTCAATCGTATCTAAAGTCTTCGTGATTTCGTTGATTTCAGCGGCAGTTTTAGTAGCAGAAACGAGGAAATTGGACGAGAAACAAGAAAAGAACTGGTAACCTTTTTTGTCAACGTCTTTCTTTCTGTTCTGCACTCTCCACTTCAAATAATCGCATTCCAATACCTCAAGTAGATCGTCGGCCATTGAAAATGCATGTTTGAGTTGTTTAAGCAGATCATCGAGTTCCTTATCGCTTGCCTGCTTCTCCTCGGCGTCTCGGAGTCCGGACTTGAGATTCGACACAGTCGTTTCGAGGTTTCTTAGTTCGCTTCGTATATGACAAAACTCTGGTCGGCCAGCGGCTCCAATGATCCTTCCGAGCAGATTCCCGGCCATACTATCAAGAAATCCGGCCATTGTCGTGTCCGATTGATTCTAGAGTTCTTTCTTTCGTCTTCAAAATGCATCGTTATGTAGCCGCCAAATTCTTTGCATTTGAAATCAAGTGAGAAACTGCTACTTTCCTCGATTTCTCGGCTAGTATTCGTTTTCCTTATAATCAAGCAAACTGCAAAATCTTTTCATACCTGATCTTCTTTGCTTTGCAGAAGGAAGCTAACTGAAACTGGGTTTGTGTTTGTTCGTCATGAACAGAGTACAGAATGTTCTTTGCCTCTGAATATTATTTATCTTCCGATACATGGATGCCCTCATGTTCAATATTTTTTATTATTATTATTATTATTATTTTGTCTAATAAGTCAAATAAAAAAAAAGTGATTTATATATTTGTTGAGTACATATAAAAATAACGATGAATTTGTTTACATATAAATAAATAAATAATTTATTTATATATTTGTTAAGCGATTGTTATGAAACAAATATATAAATAAAAAAGTAGTATTATGGTCAATATCTCAATAATATTTTTAATTTATATATTTGTTTCATAGAGATCGCTTAATCTTTGAAACGAAAAAATATATATATATACGTTTGTTAATATTTTGTTTATTGTTTTGCGAAGAAAATCAAAATTTTATTTGGTAATCTTGATATATATAGTAATGGACTAGAAGCACATATATAGTAATGGACTAGAAGCTTAAGTTGGGATGACCGAAGATCAATAAGATCAATAGATATGATAGTATTATTATGATCCAGATTAATCGAATGAACTAGAAATTTTAAATCTTGCTCAAATTGTATATTCAAAATGATGGCGGTTCAATTACAAAGTAGTATTAAGAGAAAGTTGTTAAATGAAAATGGAAATAAAATAAAACTTATGACATCAAAAGTTAGTTCCACCGTCAAAAACAAAAAGTCTTTAAAGTTTAAGTGCTCTTCATACTTCACTTCTTGACTAATTATACTAACATTAAGGAATGTACTCCGATAATAATAGAATCTTTTAAAACAATAAAAAAAAAATAATTTGATAACTCAACCCAACCCGAAAATAGAGGGTTGGATTAGGCTGGGTTACGAATTCTATTTGAGTTACTTAGGCCACCAATCCAACCCAACTCGAACTTTTGGAACTTTGTTTTGGTTAACAAAAAAATGCAAGAAGTCTACCAGCATTCAATACAAGAGTCCACCAAATTTAGTACCTAAGAGGTGATTTTTGAAGCAATCCGAGTCTAATCTTTAGGTATAATTTATTTGTAGGTGTAAAAACAAAATACCGTAGCAGAAGTCAGGAAGGCTGAAATCTCATGTAAATCACTGCAGAATATGGATTTGGAGTTTGGAGTTTGGGGTTTGGAGTTTGGAGTCTTACCTTTTCTTCTGAGGGCACAGCAGGACAATGTCATCCAAATTGCAAGCTGCTAGCCACTCCGATCCTTCCAACTATGTTCACCAGATGACTGGGTGCATAACACAGAAATTTGGTTAAAAATGAAAGAATGTCAACACGCGAAATGGGAAACAGCAGCGAGATCTTGATATCGATAACTGGATATATGTATTCAAGAAGTAAATCATATTTATATAACTATAACTTTCAGATAGAGATACATATGCATAATATAAAACAACCAGGACAAAACAAACGGGTGATATTCTAAGACTTGATATTTTTTCCTTTCTTCTTCAACCGTATGGGGTTTCCTTTCGTGATCATCGCTACTACGTTTTAAAGCCTCAGGTGATGGTGAGTATGTATGATGCATTGTGATTTATGTAAAGCTTTATTCCTGAAAGCTTGTTTTCATGTGAGATCCTACAAAATCAGCACAGAAACCCAGTCGAACTGAGTTAAACTCGAACATCATTGTTGGGGTACGCGAGACATTCCTCGAACTTTATTCCTCGGGTTGAAACAAAGTGTATGTTGAAGAGGTTTCCGTTTTTGTAACCTGCATTATGGAACCGAGGGTTATATGAAAGCAATAGCAGCTCTCCACGTCCCTTTGGATATAAAGCAACACAATATGTTTCACTAAAACCATATCATCTTCCAGGTCGCAGACTGAACCATTAACATTTATTATGAGTAAAACTGGAATATCTTTTGAGAATAGATTCCTATAAGCACTTTCAGACAAAGCAATAATCAAATGTTTATTTCCGAAGTCGTCTAAATGTTTTTAGTTTTTTTAGAATTTTCAGAAATTGCCTCTTACTTAAGATGCAACCAAATACCATAAGACTTTATTTCCTTAAAAGTGATTTTCATCCTTCTAATAGTCATCTCAAAAACAACGATAGTGAATATACTAACCTCGGCTGCACGAGAAAGTCCAGTAGGAAGAACAGAAACGAGAGATGTCCAATGAATCGGATCTCCCAGTGGATCAACTGTGTTGTAACTACTAAGAAGAGGTGCAGTTAAGAAAGAAGTCAAGGGGAACATATTTCTCTGAAGTGGCAATCCACCACTTGTTCCGAAAGCAACCCCATATCTCTCGCTGGGATCACCACCATGACTTGTATGTGTTTCAACCACTTTGCCATGATCTATCTTGTTAACAGTGTTTTTATTTTCATTCTCATCATTCTCATTGTTAATTTCCTGTAATTTCAAAGCTTTCTCCTGCAAACTCTTGTAGGCTGCGGAACGTGACAAGATGCTTAAAGCAGAGACCCTGGAAGTAGTCTTCTTTACATCATGTAATGTACCCAAACAGGGCATCTCATATGGCTCCGTAGGACGGGTGGTCTGTCCCAGAGCTTTGAGTTCACTGCCAACTTCTCCAGCACAACTACTATGTTTGTCTTCTTCTGATGACTTTGAGCCAGCACTTGCCGTTCGAGTTTTGTTGGGCCCCCACCATTTAATGTGACTTGTTAAGTCAATCTTCTTTTCAATGCAGAAGCCTGGGACGAACTCACCTTCTGTTGCTTGATCATCTCCAGCACCTTAAGATTACATTGGAGGGTAGGCACTGAGAAATTCTTGTCCACTTTTAAGTATAAACTCAGAAATCAAAGAAATCCAACGAGAGAACTGTCCTTGAACCTAGAGACATGATATAATAATAAGTTAAGACAACTTACCATAGTTTATGCTGTTGATATACTCAGGGCCCGGCACACGACTAAATGAAGGATCCCAACGACTGGTTCATAAATGCATCAACATTAGTTAACACAGATCAACAAAATGCAAGTCACATGAATAGTGATACTATTAATTTATAAGACGACTTCAAGTGTGCATGATGTCCATCAAGAATTCATTTGAAGCCACAACAATAATGTAAATATTATACTCTAAATCAAAATTTCAATGATATAAAGAAAATTTGCAAGTTTAAGTAAAAAAAGAAAATTGAAAAGAAAGAAAATAATAGATGGATTCAAAGAGTTTATTCTACCTCAAAGGACTCTAAAGAAATAGCATCAGTTGCATGTTAGTATATAAGCAATATATTAATTTGCGGAAGCAAAAGTGAATTCAATCAAGAGCATGATAGTGAGGGGAAAAAAAATACCTCGAGAGACCTCGATATTTGGATATTCCCCTGGAGAATCCACTGCTCTTTCTGAAAAGTATATAATTATATGAGTAGCAGCCGATTGTACCATAAAAGATGTTTCAACTGTTTCAACTTACCTCCTTAGGGATGCAAGGTATTCCTCTCTTGAAACATTCTGCATTTCTTCAAGGTCCCTTGAATAATCAGTCACCTGCAAAATGAAGTTCCATTTCTTATTACACAAAGAAAAGTCAAGCAGAACAAAGCATACAAGTTGGATACTGAAAATACTACACTAGATAATAAAATACTTTTTCCAAAACTCTGTAAGGTGGTAATATTCTATAACATCCATATTTAATACACTCGTTCAAAAGCTAGAAAGTGTCGTACAATTTAAATTAGAACTCCAATACTTGTAAGATCAAGGATCAGAAAGAGGAATGCATGCTTCAAAGTATGCATAAAAACAATTTATGAAACACCATGGTCATAAAAGAATCAATTTCTTTTTTTTTTTTTTTCGTTTTTCCTTTTCTTGAAGGAGAAGGTGACTAAATGACATCTCACTGGAAAGTTAATAAGAGTCCCAGGACCCCAATATTTTAACGCAGCCAAATCGTAAGCCCTAGCAGCGGCCTCTTCTTCATCATATGCCCCTGTAGATACGTGTTGTTCATTAATAAGTGTAAAGGGAAAAATAATCTAGTCTCAGTCGATGTTAAAAACAATATAAAGGAAAAGAAATCAGAAGTCTAACTTACCCAGATACACTGGAATGATCAATCATATGCCGTCCATGCACATTTTAAATAA